CTGCTACGCATTCGGGAAAAAAAATCAACGTTTGGAAGATCTAAAGGGAGACACCAACTTTGAGACATGACTGTCTAGGAATTGGGAGTAGGAGTTTTCAGCTGAGGTCTCTGGTTGAGAGTTGGGACTCGGGTGCTTGCGGCCTTTAATAATGGCAGGAAAAAAGCCTTGCAAGTCGCTCTTTTTAAAACCAACGTTAAACCAACAAGTACTAATAGCGGATTAATCGCGTTCAATACCATTTTAGCTGGCTGCAGGTTAAGCTTGTAGATACAGAGTTTCGCTGCTCAGAGTTTAGGGTTTAGGGTTTGGCCTCAGGCCTTCAGCACGAGACTTTTTCCAGACAGGGTCACAATCATCGCGTAGCTTCTAATGAACATCATGCATTCACGATTCTCACCAGTTAGCGAATATCTTACCTCACCGCCTTCCGCAGTCCTCCCTTCCAAAAATATACTCACTGAAGCACACACATGTCGGCATAAGAAACGTAGGCTTCGGGTGCTTGGGTTACAATATTTACGCATTTACACACATGTAGGTACCCCTAACCCACCAATTTGGGCAATGGACCGTTGGCCAGAAGCAGAATGCTGGCATACTTCACCCACACTTTGGTTCTCCAGCTGTGGGACCAAAATTCGTCGAGCTCAGATGTGACCTCAGTCGCGCAAAAGCACGGTAAATGGTGTGTTCCACACATCTTTTAAGCTTTGGTGTGTATGTAAATAAGATCGTTGCTATATAGTTTCTGAGAGAATACAGATTTGGAGAAAGCCTTTCCAACAATGTCAGAACCGCCTCACTGAAGCTGTAAAGCTTCTGGAGCTCCCCCTTCATCCATCTTCGCGGCCCTTTCTGCACAACTCGAAAGGCTGGGATCCCACGGATGATGTCTGTTCCAGTAGGCTGCATCTGCCTCAAGATCAGTGTGTACAAGTTCAGGAGCCGCTCCACGTCCTGCTCTGAAGCAACTTCCTCCAGGTTGGCCTGGGGCAAGTCCACAGGACACTCATCAGGCACGTCATCACCCGGAACTTCATCACTGGGCACATCGTCACAGTCGTACGTGGCCATAGCACCGGGAGACGGAGAAAAAACGCGCCTACTTGGCCCTAGCAACAATAGCCTCTCAACAACACCTGAGCTCGCCAACCACAACTTCAGCTTGGACTGAATGCTGGAACTTCAAAGTCCGGTCAGCCGATAAAGCTGAAGAAGAATCTTATCATGTACTGGATTTACTTTCAACTTTTGGAAACGTCGGCCACCGCAGCGACTGCACTTCCATCCTGGCAGCATGCGAAACAAATTCGCGTTTCGGCAAGCTCGCATGAAACCTGCACGCCGTCACACCAAGAAGCACTGAATATGCCCAACTCTTGCGTGCAAGAAACTTGATATGACGCAATGCAAGCAACCAGGCAATTCTATCATGATGAGGTCTAGGAGGCGTTGGCTTCCAAAATCAATGTCAGTTCTCGTTGCATCTCTCTGGACATTGTAACGGACACCATTCTAAGCTTGGAGCTTGCGTCGAGGGTCAAAGCCCGATGCTTTATGTCCTAAATGCACACGGGCAGATGATAGACGTCTTTGATCATTTTAGACTATGCAGACTTTGACCTTACAGTACTTGGAGAACATCTGGGTAAAGATGCCGCGTTCCACATGCAGCGCAGACATGCCAGAGCACACCCATAGACAGCCCCGAACCCCAAACTAAAGAGTGATTTGCTTCTTGCTGGCATCCGATATCATTGCACATCTCTACAGAAAGTTACTACACCCAGCCTTGAAAGACGATGCAATGCCTCTTCAGGGTGTTTATCGCGCTGGAACACGCTCAAGGTTCCGCAGGCCGAAGGCACGTGCATAGCTCAAATTAGAGTCCACAGAAACGAAAGGCTGCCAAATTTTGGGAGTAGGATGTTTCATATGGGCATGCCGAAAGCAAGAGTTGAAACTAACCCTACGACTCCCTTCCCATGCCACGCGGCTTTTTCCGGTAAGAGCAGCAAGTATATCCTAACGTCATCGCACCAAGCAGGTTTCGTTGCTAGTGCTCTGACAATTCCTAGCCTATGTACATTAAAGAATTGATTGTTGGCAAGTGCACTTCTGCAACCCCGAAATGCGTTTCTATCTTCAACTCACTTTTTGAAAAACAATTTGCAGAGTGGGCTTAAGATTTCAGATTTGCTGAGCCGGCACTTGAAACATGATTGATACCTAATGTGGCAAATTACCTAAGGTACCTCTTTGGTGGAGAGGCAGCTCAGCCTAAATGTGTTGGCTTGCTGCAGAATGAAGCTGCCTGCATAATCTCAGAAACATAACAGACGAAAGTACGCGTATGTTCTTCTCAGGGGGTCCCACCCTGCAAGTTGAGTCATATTGCGAACCCCGTCACTTGCGCAACAATCCCTCCCGAAGTGCCACATGTGACAAAATCAAGTCAGGCCAATTAGCCGAGAACAGCACTGTTGTGAATCGCCAATATGGCTGGGAAGTCCTGCATTCATTGGTATGCACAGTACTGCTCTGGGTGGTATACGCACGATCTTTGCGGCAATCACTCTGCCGGATGGCAAATCCCCGACCACCCCCACCACCCGCGCCACCCGACCCCACCTCACCACCACCAAAACCACCAACAAAACCACCACCACCACCACCACCACCACCACCACCACCACCACCACCACCACCACCACTGCCGCCAAACAGCACCAACACCAAAGCCCATGACCGATGCAACTACTATCGACAACGCAAGGGCCTGGACGACGCAAGGACGACGCAAGGACGACGTGAGGACGGCGCGAGGACGACGCGAGGACGACGCGAGGACGACGCGAGGACGGCGCGAGGACGAGGACACCAACGACGCTGACTGCTACTAGTACTCCGACTAGCAGCAGTCGCTGCCGCCTCACAACAATCACTTGAACAGTATCAAGTAGTCGTCACATTCAATATTCGCGGCTGAAAAGCATCATTCATTCCGGGCTCATGCATCGCTGAATGTGTTCTGGCAGCATTCACATTCGCATTCTCAAAGCTTACAGGACATTTCCAGGCTCGACAGGAGGCCTACTCCCTGTAGACCGCTTTTAGGGGCCCTGTATGAGTCTGGATTGTTACATGGATATTGCGGGTATCCGCCCGACAGCTACCCACGTGAATCGGTCCTTGAAGACTGTTGCCTTCACGTGCTCCCGTCTTCATGGCGCAAAGCCTTTGGGAGGGTCAACGACCGTGAGCAAAGAACCCTCTTATAGCAGAGGTCGCAAAGGGATTCTTGAGGGTCAAGGATTATTGTAAAGGAGGTGCATTGGGAGTCGCGATCATCTGCTGCTGCTGCTCAGGCTCATGGGTTCGAGCAGCCAGCGCTTGAGTCTTGCATTGCACAATCAAGCAGCTCAAGCGGCGACAGAGAAAGAAAACATCAGAGAACCAGCTCCTACCTTGCACATGGAGCAGCAGCATATGCATGAAAAAGCATGAGAATGCACGAGCACTCTTGCGTTGAGTTCAGGCATAGGTCAGCCAATACTATGACAGCTTTAATTACTGTGATTTCTTGTGTTTTTCTCCCATGCCTGGGGTCAACCAGCGCCAATGTGTCCCACACAGACATGTGAAAGCAAGCACGCGGACTAACTCCTGTCGTGTGTGTCCCCGGAAGCCGACACCTCCTGAAACCCAAACTCAGCTGCATCCTTGACACCAGAACCCCAAGCCACAAGTCCCTCAGCGTGAAACCCCAAACCCTCAACGAGTATTCTGACAGCCTTGCATGGCTGCTCAACCCGTGCGCAAGTCGGCCCTTGGGAAGGAGGCAGGCTGCTGCTCTCCTGCCGATGATGGTTTCAGCTGTTTATTGCTTTATGTATGAACTCTAAAATGCTGCGCGGAGAGAGGCTAGGAGGCATTTCACCTAGCACACTGCAGTGATTTTACAAGGCTTCTAGATACTTTATAAGTTCTGTATGTAGAAATCCTACACCGCATGGGCAAAGGGATTTCCTCTGGGCCCCTGGGGTGTCAGTCAAACCAGCTTTCACTTCTGGGGGCGATCCGCGTTCCGATTGCTGAGCGCAGCATGGTGTAGCTAAAGTACCAGCAGTCATCCAAGACTTTCACACTGTCATGGCCACACTGGCGGCCCTTAATCATGTGGTCTTGCCTACCAAACTACGTCTTGTGAGGTCTGGTCGAGATGTTGGCCATTCGCACTCCATTTCTGTCGCTTGGAAGCTGTCTAGGTATGTCTGAATGGCGCGATTCTCTACAGGATGGACTGTCAGGGATGCAGCGTCACCAGCAGTTGTAACTTTTGAATCCAGAAGCTCTGCAACAGCAAATTCTGCCCCAAGAACACGCAGTCGGGCAATCCAATTTGGATGCAGAATCCGCCGATCTTGCATTTGGGGGAGCAATACTACCCCCCTTCCCCCAGAGACTGCATCCAACCGCTTATTGGGGGGCCAGCTCTGGGGGACTGGGAACAAGGCCTGAGGCTCGGGCCTCAAGTTGGCGAGCATCAGGCCTTCCCCCAAATCCCAATACCCTACCTTGCCCAAACCCTAACCTACCCTAATCACGCACTACCCTACCCTGACCTACCCTAACAACCCACCACCTTGCCCTACCCTCATCTACCCTAACCACCCACCACCCTAACCACACTCCATCCTACCCTACCCTACCCTGACCTTCCCTAACCACCCACCACCCTTCCCTACCCTACCCTAACCACCCCTCGCACCCCACCCTGGCCACCCACCAACCCAGAACTTACCCTAACCACTAACCACCCATGACCGTAACCCAAACCACCCAGCCAGAACCTACCCTCACCACCAACCCCCTGCCCGAACCATACCATAGACCCTACCCTAATCTACCCCACCCCCCCCCACCCCACCCAAACCACCCACCTTACCCACCCCTAACCTACCCTAACCTACCCTAACCACCCACCACCCTACCCATAAGCTACCCTGACCAGCCACCCAAAAACCTACCCAGGCCACCCACGATCCTAGCCCTGCCCCACCCACCCCCCTACCCCTGCCCAAGGTAAGGCTTGCGGTCCATACTTGAATCGGCGTGCGCTAAACATGTTTTGGTCTGAGTACAGCACAATGAGCTCGGGTTAATACTGGAGTGCTTGTGGATGTACTGTGATCAGTCCTGATTGTACGGTGATCGGACCAAAAGCCGCTCCGCTCCCCCCGCCCCCCAACCTCCCTCCCCAACCCTCCTCTGGCCTTCCCTCCCTGTCCGCATATTTGGGGCTTTCAGCCCAGCTGGAGGATTCTGTAATTGCCATACAAAAGCACGGAAATCTTACAAAGGCATTGGTAAGGCGTGAGGTGTTTCAGCAGCACATTAGAAGGAAGCGCACTAGCAGCAGCAGCAGCAGCAGCAGCAGCAGCAGCAGCAGCAAGAAATCATCGTAGCAGCATCGATAGCAGAAAAACTGTGCTTGGGGCAATGTTACACTGCCAGGAGGAGGAGCAGCAGTAGTCCTTCACCTAGAAGAAATGGAAGCAGAAGCCAGCGCAGCATTGCCACAGTAGGCTAGTAGAAAAAGGGCTTGCTCCTCCAGCGGCAGGCCTGGAGTGGGAGCCAGCGCTGCCGGGGATACGCTGTTGCAGGCCTGGCGAAGGGGAGTGCCAGCGCAGCATCCCTTCTCCAGACTGCATTTCAACTCAGTCTTGAGAAACTGCGAAATGACCTGTCAGCCACACCTGGCTTGAAAATCTACACCATGTCCTGCAGAAGCCCTCTTCAAATCAGTGTTCTTCAAGTAAGTGCCTGTCGAGCTTTGAGAGAATGTGCCGGTCGGCCGAACATTCTCAATGTATTGTGGTATGCCACAATGGTCATATTTGATATTAGGCGGGTTGGGGTCAGGCATGCTGATAGGCATGCTTAGACGCTTTTGCAGTGAATTTATTGGATGGGACGAGATGCGTTGGGGCTTCAAGCAACTGTCTCTCTTCCGGGGTCTCTTTTGGTTTGTTTAGGGTTTAGGGTTCAGGATGTAGGGTTGGATGCTCAGT